TCCTCGCACTGACATGACAGACTTGATTACTCCCCACACTGACACAACAGACTTGATTACTCCCCACACTGACATAGGATAGATTATATGAATCCCCACCAGACACATAATAGACTCTGTTAGTTTTGCATCATAAGGTTTTATTTAACAGAAATGCTTGACAACGAATCATGTCACTTTTATAATGTATATGGTTTTACATGATATCAGAAAAAGACTGACAGAAATTCTCACAATAAAACATGCTTTTTTTTATTAATTATTCAGACTTGCCATATGTGAGTCATTTTAGAAGGAAAAACATGTAATGTTATCTGATTTACTTGACTCGAACTTAAATCTTGCTTATTTATCTTTTTACAAATACATATCTCACCATGCTTCAAATTAAATGATATATTTTTCTGTATAGAAGAGTCAGGTTTTGATAGCCAAAATTGCTTTCTGCTTCTTTTTCTTCTTGTTTTTGTGTTTCAGTGTTGCATCCTTGAAAAGCATTACCTCCCCTGATTTGTCAATGTGCTGTTGTAAGAACTGGAGACCACTCATATTGAACCCAATCCGGTCCTGTAAAACACAACATATACCAGGTATTTAGCACTCTGATATAATCATATTAACTACATTCAAACACTTATCTAATACCTTTGCCGTCAATTGGACTTATTTAATCATTTCAGGAAATATAAGATATTTTGAAAATAAATTTTGTTTTGTTACAATGAAATGTGAGATTTGTGGTGACATACTCTGATCTGGTCAACCTTGGCTTGTGTGCAGCTTCGCAGTCGGTCAATGACGGGCATAAGGATGGGGCTAGATGTCACCTGGCCATGGTGGACTCTGTAGAGACAGAAGGGGAAGCATTACATTATAACAAAAAGTATGCTGTTTAATTTTTTAACTCCTAATAGTTTTTTTCACAAACAACGCTTCCTTCAAAACCTTAAAGGGCAATATTTCATACTGTCAAAGGTAACAGCTTATTTTCAAGGAACATCAGGACAGAGGTCTTATGGTCAGAGGTTTCAGCTTATTCACACCCCAAATCAGGACAGAGGTCTTATGGTCAGAGGTTTCAGCTTATTCACACCCCACATCAGGACAGAGGTCTTATGGTCAGAGGTTCCAGCTTATTCACACCCAACACCAGGACAGAGGTCATATTGTAAGAGGGTCAAGCTTATTCACACCCTACACCA